AATCTGGAACAAACAGAAGTGACTCAAGTAATTTTCTCAAGTTTCTTCTAAGATCAAAGAAGTCAGTTGAAATTATATATTATTTCTAATAACTTGTAACTAGACAGCATTTTTGTTTCATTTATTTAAAAAATTTTGGTTTGCCCAAATGTCTAAAGAGATGTATCACTGTTATTTGAAAACTACTTAAGATTTTAAAAAAAAATTGTGAATACATTCAAAACATTATTCCAGTTAAAGCTTAATTAATACATTTTAAGTTTAAAATTCAAATATGTTTTAAATAAAAAAATAGAACATTTGAAATTTCGTTTGGACATTTTGTGATGCTACGAATAAATCCAATGCAAATAAATTGTAGTTATAGTTTAAATACTTGGACTTTTATAGATAGTTGTTAATGAAATATTTTATATATGCATTTTGTTAGCATTTCTTAGCATTGTATGTTCAAAAGATTAGGCATATTTCTTTGGGAAAAATTTAGAGCCATTTTGTTAGTTTCCTCATTTAATATTTTTTCTTTGGCTGTAAGCTAAAATCCATGAGCTTTCCGTGGCTTTATTATTACTGTCTAGAGAAGCACGTCTTTAAAAAGTAACTTTTCAAACAATGGATTATCAGTTAATGAATGATAATTAGTACACTGTTAAGTAATAGTGGTAACAAGGTAGGAAAGTACATTATTGAAGGGTTCTTAAAATGGTTCTTGCTGCCCTGAAAGACTTACTTAATTCTAATGGCATTTAATTTTTTTATGGGGAGTAAGAATTTATTCCTTAATGAAAGTTATGATATTTGGGAAAGATTATATAAATACTTCCTAATAAGTTAGGTTTGAATTTTCAGGAAATCTAATTTTCTGTTGCATTTATTTAGCTTTTTAAGGTGCTTCATTTGTGGTTTACTGTTGTAAGCTTACTTTAGATGCTTCTTTGGAAGTTATAGGAATGGCATATCTAATTTTGGATTTATCATTACCTAATTGGCCATTTTGTGGGTTATTCAGATCCTTTTGCTTCTTTTGGAGTTTTCATGTTTGTCTTATTTCCACAGTTCTACCAAAAGTTTCTAAAAAGACTAAAGGCAATTGAAACATAAGCCAAAAACCTCATTCTTACTGCTGCTGTGGCCCAGCTTGTCTCTAATGTCTCGTTAGTAACTGAAATGATATTTTTGAATCTCTTTTCTTTCTTTTTTTACTTCCACATCCCCAATGGCTATATTAGAACTAATTTGAAAAATAAAACTAGTAGGGTATTGAAATGTAGAAGTGTGTTTAAAGGAAAAGGCAGGTTGTTTAAAGTGAGCCCTCTGATGGGGGTGATGGGTGGTAGTCTAGCTGCCTGCAGCTGTTTATCCTCTTCCAGACCAGGTTAGTGACCCGGCAGCACGCTCTCCTGCTTTCAGAAAAGGTGTTTTGCTTGCATGGTATGAGTTGGTAATTTTGGACCTTTTAATTAAAGATAAGAACGCATTAGAAAATTAGATTTCTTGTTGACATCTTTTGCAGGACTAAGGATTCATTGGCAGAGAACTACTAACCTGTCCTCTCAGCCGCAGGGTGTGAGCACTGAAAAGGATTAAGGCCCACTGTAGGGGAACTGCACTGCACTGCCGCCTGCACTGCCCTTCCCCTCTTCTCGCAGCTAAATGGAAGATTTTTAGTTCCCAGGACTATCAATCTGGCATTTTTCACAGGCTCTAAACTTGTGTAAGAAAATTGAGATTGCTTATTTTTAGAAACTGCCCTAGGATAGTGCAAGATGGTGTTTTGTTGGTATTTCATATAGGCAGATCCTATACATAATGGTTTTTTTGATGCATGCTAATTTAATTAATTTGAATTTGGGGGCCTATAGAAACATTTTAAAATCAAGGCCAGGTTCGTCTATGACTACGTTTGCTTGTCCAGTTAGTAACTGCAGGTTTACAGTGTTGCATCTTTCATCTCATTAGAAATAACTGTCTGACAGCCCTGTGGACATAAACTCTTTTTTTATTTCTTGATGACTGCAATTATAAGGTGCTTGCTTTTTCATTTTTAAAAGCTTTTAAATGGCTTTTATAAACGCTAAAATGTCATATTTCTTCTGTGTCTGCCAGATTGGTATTGTACTTAATCTTGAAAATATATTTTGATTTTGCTAACTGAAAATAATTGCAGAGCATTAAACATTCTTAGTTAAAGCTCGCCTCCCCCCCCCATTTAATTTGAGCTTTTGTTGTTACTAACAAATAACTTGTGATACAGTTTCTTTCCTTTCTTTTTTAGATGACTGCTAGCGTTTATACTTGTCACCTTAGTGTGCGAGAAATGGCCCACTCCTGTAGAGGCTCCTTTCTGGTTCTCTGTCCTCACCTGCTCCTCACTGTAAATCACCCCGTGTCCAAGTTCCGTGATTGATGAAACTGCACGTGCAAGTGCTTTTTTCTTTTTCACCTGTCAAGCAGGAAGAAGTCTTATAACAAGATTAGGAGGTGCTAATTCACAGCTTTTACTTCACACTGTCAAGTGTGTAGAAATATTTTATATTTAGTGGCTTATTTAGAATATAACATCTTGGATTTGTTTGGTTTGGAATTCTTAAATATTGTACGATACAATTATTATACCAAACCCTGTCATTAAACTCCCGATTGGAGGCAAAGAGTAAATTTAGAATCCTATATAAATATTTTGGAATTTAAGATTCATACTTTGTAGTTATATTATTCAATTGTCCGGGGTTGATCTAAGTTATTTCAAGTGAATAGTTTTAGTTTTTGGATTGATTGTGTGTCTGTGCATATACACATACATCATCAGGAATTTATTCTCATTATCATATAGCATAGACTTAAATTTCTGATGAGATTATGGTGATGGCTTTTTTTTTTTTTTTCTCTTTGAGCAATAAATAT